TGTTTGGCACCGGCCATACAAATTTTCTTGTCATTACAGAATATGAATTGTAAGAAGGGCACGTCCGTACGGACCTTTAGATAGATTACAACTGTGGGAACAAGATCCCTATAGCTTGATACTCTCGAGGCAATTGTCTTGGTTTTTTCTTGTCTGTTAACTGTTTTCTTCTCAATTTCTTTTTGATTGACGACTTTGGGATTGAAGTCCGTTTTCTTAGAGCTAAGGATATCACTTGACCGAAGTGGGGGGTGGAGGGTGTAGTCTCTATCTCCGTACCCACTTAAAAATTTTTTGTCTATTCTCGGTCCACCCCCGTTAACGGGTATAGTTTTCATTCCTATCCCCGTCCACGGGTAAATTTTTAATCCCCATCCCCGACCCCGTTTCTCCCGTACCCGTCTAAGCCCAAGCTCAAGTCAACATAATCTAAAATTTTAAATAAATCCAACATTGTTCTAAATAATCTAACATAAGATATTTCAATATAACACAAACAGCAAATGTCCAAAATACTACTTGAATATTTGTAATGAAATTTTTTTTATGTCATGTAGTTTCGTACCTGTAATTTAATAAAGAAAATAAAACATAAAAAGCTATAATAATAGCATAGAAAATATTTATATTTATTAATAAATGTGGATGTGAGTTTTAGTATTAACAATAGGGTTGGTTCAATAGAAATTGGGGAACTTAGCTAGGTTGGCGGAGGTTAACATGCATTCTCATAGTCATAGGTGCAACTTTAACTTTGAACATATATTTAATTATATATATATAACGGGTACATCGGGGGAGGGGCGGGGGTAAGGATAAGTCTATCCCCGCCTTCATCCCTGTACGGGTTTATACAGGCATCCCCGTATACGTCTACCGTTCAATACGCATAGTCCCTCCCCGGTCTAAACGGGACGGGTTTGGACGAATACCCATTTTTCCCCGGTCCACTGTCATCCCTACTTAGAACTACTGATTGCTGTAAAAGCTTTAGTTAATAATAATAAAAAAAATTTTTATAGAAAATAATCGAAGTTAAAGACAACAAGAGAAGAAGAAAAAAAAAACTAATCATAGACGTGGTTCAACAATATATGGACTAAATATCTTAGAGAATTACATCGATGTTTATTTATATGTACTCGTTTACTTGCAATTCAACCTTATTTATAAGTTGAAAAAATAAGATAAACATATAAATCACTCATGCAACTATATATATATGTAAATAGTTAGAGATATCATTGGATCTTATCATACATCTATGAAAGAGGGTGAAATATAATTAGTTATCTATTACCCTCCCGTGTGTTCTCTCTTGTATAGTCCATCCACATGATTTTTTTTTTTTTTTTTTGCGTACCAAGGACGGGGACTAAGTGTGATTGAATGTACTTAATACCTCTAAGCTCTAGATCTGATATCACATTGAATCACCAATTTATCCATAATTTTAAGTTAGTTGGGAGAAGTATAATCTAAGTATTTATCGATTATTGACATGGTACCAATTATTTTTTTCAAAATGATTAAAAATTGATCTTAAACAACCTCGTTTTAGTACAACTTGTCAACATTTAGTCATAAATTCACCTCTTATCTTTAATAGCTTTTATGTGATACCCAAAAATTTCATTATGTATTATTCTTCTTGACAGGGACTATATTTAATTGCGATGCCAATATAACAAGTGCCGTATAGCGTCGGTAGTAGAAGATCGATGCAAACAAGGTTGTGGTCCTGTGTATTCGGTAGTATACACTTTTCTTTTCAATGACTTGGTATTTGAGTGGCAGTTTAAAACAAACTTTAATTAATTATATATAGCATAAACATGATTAAGAAACAGCATCAAGCCTTAATTAACATGAAACAGGACCCTATAATGACGCGTAAATCATGTGTTCTATGATTAGGATAATTTTATGGCTAGCCTTTCTTGTCCTTTTAGAGACATGCTCTAACTCAACTCAAGTCACGGTGGCCAGTTATTAAATTCGAGGGAGTAATCAGCAACCGTGTTGTTGGTACAACTTTTTTGAGGAGTTTTTTATATTATTGTTTGTGATTATTTATATATATATATATTTTTTTTGGGGAGAGGGATTTACACTCTAAAATGGTTAGGATGAATCCCAAACACCTTAAAAAGTTATCGCTTGACCTTTAAACAATTGTATTATGTACCCCCAAAAATTTATAACTTATTGAGGATCGATCTTAATATTTTTGAACTCTTTTAGTAATCCGTATGATGAGTGAAATTATAGTGTCTATCGTCACCAAATCATCATCTTGAGATCCAATGAAAGATTAGCTTTTGAGGATTATTCTTTGATTATTGTTGCTTCCCCACAGAATAATTCTCCACCCAAAGTTGGTCAAAAAATCAAGGTATAACAACTTCAATTATACAGATTCACTTCAATATGTCTCTTGATTCCAAATCTAATGGAGGTTGTACAATGGTCCTGACAAAGAATAATATGATTATGATTATAAAGGCGTAAGAGTATTCTTTTTTTCTTTTTTCTTTTTTCTTTTCGTTGATGCATTGAAGGGTTCGGAGAATAATCTGACTATTTTAGTGCAAAAGGAGTATTAGAAGATCACCCCCAAGTAAAAAGCACAAATTAACGATCGATATACAAGAATATTAGCTCTCCCGTCGTGATTTACTATTTCATTCTCACTTTATTCTAATCCCTTTTTATTTTTGCCCATACTTCAACGTAATAATCTTCCTCTATTTTGACTACCAATCATTTGAACAGAAAAAGCTTTCTATAATATATATATATTATTATTGGAAAGACAATAGTGTTAATTAAACTAGTGCATCAATTTGACCATGGCCTCACATGTCACCGTGTATTATACTAAGAATGAACTTCTTCACATTATCATGGTATATAATCATCATCGCTGCCATTTGGGCTGTTGTTTTCGTGAACATTACAGTCATAATCCATATTGTTATGGTTGATGGTTGTTTATGGTCAATCATTGCCATCACCATCTTTGTTTTTTGTTTAAAGTCGTTCATGAGCCTTACCATCATAGTATAGTATAAGATGTTTATGTCTAAGCTTGAAATGAATAACAATGCAAGGTTTGCACTAGAATTAGCTTACCGGTCAGAATAAGCTAATTCTGTGAGAGCGACTTAGTATACATGCTTCTCGTTTCTGTGGGATCTGAGAAGGATTAAACACATGCAATTTTACCCATTATATAGAGATATTACCTTTCGCTTCTCTAATCTTTGACACCGAAATCACAATAAAACAATATTAATGCTACGATAGTTTCAGATGAAAAAAAACAACCGAAAGAAAGTACAAGTACACTTTCGTATTTCAAGTTGAGATACAAATTAAAAAAAAAATGAGCAATGTTAAACTAAAAGGTGAAATTTAATTTAATTATCAGATTGATTGTGAGTTTTAATGTTAGGTAAAAACTACTTTTAATTCTAAAATTGTGGTTGATTAGATAATTAAATTGCTAAATAGTATCCAAGTAGCATATTCCTTAAAAAAAACCCATGTTATTGGTAAACTCATGAGAGACGATGTCTTACACTAATTTGTTAGCATGCAATTATGTACGTGGTGATGTTGCATGATATTAATGTTAATCAATAATTGTGAATTCTATTATTTTAATATGAAAAGTCCAAATCAGCCAGAAATTCATACAACAACTCCCATTAAAATTTCTTTGAAATTTCCCAGGGGTCCCACCTCCGTGTCCCATTGATTCATCATTAGCCACCAAGAATACTACACGTACTGATGAAATTGCTTCATTTTTTTTTGGGTAAAATACACTTTTAATCCCTAAAGTTTAGGTTTTGTGTCTATTTAGTCTCCAATATTTCAATTGTATTTATTTAGTCCCTAAGGATCTTAATTTGTATTTATGTGGTCAAATCCCAAATGTTCACCTAAAAATTGTTAAAGTCTCTGGTCACACGCTAATTACATGGGCCAAATATACATAAATTAAAAATTTTAGAGAGCAAATAAACATAAATTAGGATTTTAAAGACTAAATAAACATAAAATTAGGAACTACGAGATTAACGCGTGATCAAAACTGTCACATATTTTCAACGAATGTTTGAAATTAGATCACTTAGATACAAATTAAGAACTTTTGGAACTAAATAAACACAATTAAAAAATTAGAGACCAAATAGACACTAAACATATACTTTTGAGACTAAAAGTGTATTTTATCCTATTTTTTTTATTTTGCACTCGGGGTTCAAACCGCGAAAATGACATTTCCGCATGCAAGTATTGAATTATTTACATCTAATTAACCATTTTAATACATTATCTTTTTTATGTATAATTACATATAATATAGCAATAGGATAGTTGTATGCATTGAAATTGCAAACTCTACATATTTAATTATAAAAAAGAATGTCTTGTAGGAGTTATTAGTCAATTAAGTACAAAAATATGTGCATCAATCAAGCTTAGGAAACTTCAATTCCAGCTTCGTAGGACTCCTTATTGGCTCTCAACCTTTCCTTTCATTTTCCCTGTGCCCAAACACTTGCCTTTTTATAATCTTCTCAACAACTTCAAGTCATTTTTAAAGAGAATATATTTATTTCATGGAAGATGAGAGGAAAATATCTAACGGTTTTATATAGTCCACCGAAAAGGGGTTCCAATTTCTTAAGAAATATAAAATATCGAATGGTCTTACGTAACCCACGAGAAACCGGCATGCAATTGCATGAAAATTTAAGGTTTATTAATATAGTATTACATTTTAGAGCAATGTTATTGACACTTAATTTATTAACCTAATTGATTTTGATATTTAGATTCACTGTAGATCCCATCAAATATTAGAACTTAATATTGATTCAATAAATAACTCTTTCGGCAATACCTATGAATCTCTTACTCAAATCCAATTGATGATTTTCCTAGAATTTGTTACAATTGAGAGCTGTCATTAACGTTAATGGTGCTCATTCATAGGCAACAAGAGCAGGTGATGCATTAAGGACGAAGAAGTCGGTCTCATCTTCGTCATCGCTGCTCCTGCACACACGAACTAAGACCCAGAAGCTTTCAATAGAAGTTTGAGAGAGAGAGAAGGTAGGGGAAGATTTTGAGATGTGAACAATGAAGAAGGTGAACAGAAATTTGGATCTGTATTTGGGCAAGATTGAGAGGGTTTTACTTTTGTGAAGACGGAGAATTCCAACTTTTTATTTTTAGTGAAAAAATTTTACCTAAAAAAATTATTTAAACAGTGACGTTTCGAACTAACAATAGACCCACAAAATAATATTATTTTAAAAGTAGACTCACAAAACGACATCGTATTATATATACTATTTATCACAACAAATTCTCAATGTAACACAAGCAAAAATATTTGCGACAGAAAAAACTCCTGTTGCAAAAAATAAAATTTTATTTATTTGTTGCCACGACAATGATTTACCATTGCAAATAAATCATTTTAAACGATGGAACTAATAACAGTCGCAAAAAAAATAATTTTGCCACGGTAAATGTACTGTCGCAAAAAAAGTAATGCAAAAACTCAAATTCTTGTAGTGGATTTATGTGAAATCATAGTTTTATGTTAGTAAATTAGGCCAAATTTTTAGGTTTAAATACTATTTCTCTAAATTTAATAATTATAGTATTTCTTTAAATAGTATTTATCTAAATTTAATAATTATAATTTCTATTTATGGTGACGTGTCCACTTCTCTTAAAAGCCCAATCATTGTCCACACCGTTTAGTGTTTATTCCTTAAACCAATCAGTTTACAGGTGAGAGAGAAAATTACACCCAGGTACGTCGGCATCCACCACCCATGGAAAAGAGTCAATTTTTTAAAAATTCTATTTTATCCTCGAAAGATATAAAAATTCTAAATTTGCTCTGAAATAATTAATATTTTCACATTACTCCCTCACAGAAATGAAAAAGTTTTAATGTAGCTCACCTATCTTATTTCTGTTTAATAGTCCATCTGTTTTGTGAATTTTTGAATGGAATTTACCCTCAATTTTATGGGTTAATCCAAGTAACATTTTGATTTTTGAACCATTTGACAATAGGTAACAGCTTGCAACATTTTTTAAAGAAAAAAAAAACTCCATAACAATTTATAAATATTGCTACATTAATTTTTTTAAAAATAAACATATAATCAATAATTCTTCATTAATACTTCCTGACCCCCCCCCCCCAAAAAAAAAAAAAAACTTCAATAATACTGAGTGACATGAAGTAGAGATGGAATGGCATTGCAATTTCAGAATATTTTACAAAATCCGGACAACTTTTGAATTCAAATTCCACTAAAACAAATCTATGTTTTTCTTAATATATCATTCATTATGTAATAGTGATAGATTTAATATATTCATATAAAATAAATCATACTCAAATTCATCATTGGCAATCCACAAAAAAAATTCAAAAAAATGTAGGCGCATAGTATTTATTTTGTTTCATTTGTCAGAGGTCTAGCTCGGCCGTTCATTGGAGTCTGTCCCATAAAACATGGAATCAATGCCGTCCAATTAAGATGACGATAGTGACAGGTTACGTCTGTATTGTTACACTATTTATTCGTTGTGTTGCTTTGCTTTGTAGATTAAAAGAAAGCCGCCTTTGCAGGGCCATACTATTCAGTAGATCAACGGCCGAATATCCAGGGGAGTTTAGGCTGGCTGAATCGACGGTGCCTAGCCTATCTACCCACCTTAGCTTCCGTTACATACACTGAAATTTTAATGGACCGTTTGGTCACATTATAAATTTTTGAAGGGGATGACCCCTTTGTTCATGGATAACTTACTAAGATTCCATAATGTCTACTATAGAACTAAGTGGGTGACGATTTGATGGATTACTCGACCTACCCAAGTACCAAAGATTTTTGATCTTATACCTTACTATTATATGACTCAAAAGAAAAAAAAAATCAAAAACAAATGAAAAAAGCTTGGCATGATGATTCGCGTGAGAAGTACATGGCATGGTCATGATAAACACGATGATGCTATGCCACATTTTCTATAGGGAGTGAGAGATAAAATGGGGATGGATGGTTATTATGTGCATGGATACACATATAGGGAGAGAGAAAGTAGTGGTAATGATTACAAATGGGCCATGATGAAACGCTCCCTTCCGTGGAAATAAATGATTAAAACCAAAGTTTTGGAGAGAGAGAGAGCAACTATTCTGCGCAGCCATAGCCGCCATTTCCATCTTCTTCCTTTTTGTGATGATTAAATTTATTAATTATCATCCTTACTATTATTAACTATTTTCTGCACTAGAGAGAGAAAGTTACTGAGAGAGAGAGAGGGGGGGGGGGGGGGGAGAGAGGAAAGATGGACAGACAGAGGAGAAAAAAGCAAAGAGACCTTCGAAAGCACAAAATTAAATAATAAAAAACAGTTTTGAGAGGGAAAGGTGGGGTTGAGATTCTAGAGAGAGAGAGAGAAACCAGAGAGGCCCCCCAAAATCAGGTATATAAAGGCAACCTAAGGCCACTACTTCCACCCTGCAATGATGAACTACTCACTACCTCGACGACAAGCTTTCTTCGAAGCCTAACGCCCCCTTGTCCGTGTCTTCCGAGCTGCTTTCTCTCTTCTTCCTCCTAAGTTTCTCAAATTTCGATGAGATTTTTCTGCTCTGATTTCCTTGCTTCAAATTCACGTTAAATGTCATCTCCGTCCTCCTATATATAACTACTCACTTTGATTAGTGCATAGCATTTTAGTTTGAAATTTGGATATTTCTGGGTGTTTCTTTGATCTTTCTATTTGGTTGATCATACTCGAGAAGATGGTAATGGTGGAGGAAGGTGTTTTAGTGGTGGTTAGAGAGTTTGATGCAAAAAAAGACTGTAGGGGAGTGGAAGATGTGGAGAGAAGGTGTGAGGTTGGACCCAGTGGCAAGCTGTCTCTCTATACTGACCTTTTGGGTGATCCTATTTGCAGAGTTCGCCACTCTCCTGCCTATCTCATGCTGGTAAATACTCTCTTTCTCTCTCTCTCTCTGTTCTGTAACTCCCTGTTTTAAATGCTTTTGCTTTTGATTTCGTGGGGGTAGAGTTACTTCACCATTTGCTTAATACTTTGGTACCCATAAACAAATTGCCCACTTACATTCAAAAATATGTATAATCATCTTCAGGTAGCTGAGCTAGTGGTGGGTAAAGAAGACGGAGAACAGAGAGAAATAGTAGGGATGATAAGAGGTTGCATCAAAACCGTTACGTGCGGCCGAAAATTCTCCAGAAATTCAAGAAATCGCTACGATCTCTCAAAAACCCAATCCATTCCCGTCTACACCAAACTCGCCTATATCTTAGGCCTCCGCGTCTCTCCTTCTCACAGGTACTTGCTCAACTTCTTTTATCCATTTCCTACCTTATCTCATCATTTTTTCTTCAACCCAGAAGACTAGATGTGAATATTTCTAATTTGAAAGTATATTATAACAGGCAATGATAAAAAAATTACCTAAAATGGAGTTCTGACCAGAACCAGGATCACAAATACCCAACAATAATTGTGGGTTTTCATTATATTTTATAGAATATTAAATGGGTATTATGTGTTTGATAATATGTGCGAATCAACTGATGATATAGTAATGTATATTGACGATGCAGGCGAATGGGACTGGGGTTGAAGCTTGTGCGTGGAATGGAGGAGTGGTTCAGAGAAAATGGAGCTGAATATTCGTACATAGCAACCGAAAACGACAACCAAGCTTCGGTTAAGCTCTTCACCCACAAATGCGGCTATTCCAAGTTCCGTACACCTTCCATCCTGGTCCACCCCGTGTTCGCTCACAGAGTCCGAGTCACCAAGCGAGTCACGATCCTCAAACTCACTCCCTCTGAGGCTGAGTCTCTATACCGCCGACGGTTCTCCACCACCGAGTTCTTCCCCAGAGACATTGACGTCGTTCTCAACAACAAACTCAATCTGGGTACTTTCGTTGCCGTTCCGAGTGGTTCTTACTGTGCCGAGGCATGGCCGGGTGCTGACTCGTTCTTGGCTGACCCGCCCGAGTCATGGGCCGTACTCGGTGTGTGGAACTGTAAGGACGTGTTCACACTCGAGGTCCGAGGCGCGTCGGTGTTGAGAAGAGCATTTGCCAAAACGACCCGTTTACTAGACCGGGCTTTTCCGTGGCTTCACGTACCGTCGGTGCCGGAGCTGTTTGGGCCATTTGGGCTTCATTTTTTATATGGGCTTGGTGGCGAAGGTCCACTTTCTGCCCAGTTTACGAAGGCCCTTTGTGGGTTTGCCCACAACCTGGCTAAAGAGTCCGGTTGTGGGGTGGTGGCGACGGAGGTGGCAAATCGTGAACCGCTCAGGTTAGGAATCCCACACTGGAAGAGGCTATCATGCGCCGAGGACTTGTGGTGTGTGAAACGGCTTGGGGAAGACTACAGTGACGGGTCTGTGGGTGACTGGACCAAGTCAGCACCTGGTCTGTCCATTTTTGTTGATCCAAGAGAATTCTAATTAACCAAACTCTACTGTCTTTTAGCTTAAAGAATTTAGTTTAGAACCTCTCCTTACAGCCTAGACCCAGTAATGGCGTGAGCCTTATGGTCCCAGTACGCCTTAATTTAATTTAGAACCTCAGAGAAAAATCCAAAGAAAGAAAGGGTTTTTTACTTTCTTTTGTTTTGTTTTGTTTTTGTTTTTGTTTTATTATATAGATTTTAGGGTTTTAAAGAGGATTTTGAGGGGATATTTTAGTGGCAAAAGGGGGAGGGAATGTAAGATATTGGGTTGTTTTTTATGTGACTTTTTAAGATCCTCTTTTAGCCAAATCGAGCATAAGTTTTTCCATGTGGGTTTTGTTTTATTATATCTTTTGTCACCCCTTTAGTTATTCCAAAGTATGCTAGGTTATACCCGTTTTGATGAGCATTATAAATAATGTGTATCCGAATATCCCTTAAAAGAATGTATGAATGTGTATCTAATCTTTTTTTACTCTTGACTTTTTGGCCATTTTGTTATAATCCAAAAGTGTCCTACATCATTCATGTGTGGTTATGTACCTGTATATGAGCTTTTGAACATCATTTTTTTACAAGTCAATTTTTAAGGGTAAGTTTAATCAATGGTTTCACATTATTTAGTGAAAGATTATGACATTACGTCGAGTATAAGAAGATCAAATGTAATATGAGATTGTTATTCTGTAGTAATTTTCTTGAAAAGAGGAATGTCCTAGAGAAATGCTCCTAGTGACCAGATGAGAAAAGCCATGGGGGCATTTGGAATCATTGGTGACCATGTGTAGATACATGGAATAGGAGGGATAAGATATGAGAATGATGGGGTGCTTTGTGTTTGTTGTGTTGGAGGATTCTCTTTTGGAATGGCTTTGTATCTTTTCTGTACATGAACAACTGATGAGGAGATTTGGTTTTTAGTTGTGCTGTGTAAATGAAGATAGGGAGAGTTCAAATTTTAACAATTATTTAGGTTAAACCACGAGAGACTTATCACTCAAAAATATCTTAATTCTGACGTGGATGGTTTGTCTTTAATTGAATTGAAAGAAGGGATTAGTCATGATAGACGTAAGTTAATTTGAACACCATTAACTATTAAACTAAAAAAAAAATGAAGATAGGGAGGGAGGGAGGGGAATGGCATGGGGTTTGTTTGGTTCCTTGTTTTTGCCTTTAATAATAAGGGACCTTTTGTTTTTTCTCATCCACTTTTTTTTGGTGGATTTTTTTTTTTTAGGTCGGAGAGAGTTTGGACCAAGTAGAAGACTATGGGATTGGGATTGTGACGTTTTGGAACAAACAGCTTTTTTATTACCTTTTTTCTGCTTTTTGAGTGTGGGGATTGGGGACTATTTTCCTCCATCACAGGATACTCTTGAATGGATTGGGTTCCTATCTGATTTTTACCCTTTCCTTCATGGAAAGCACTATGGTTGTATCAAAATAGTATCATACTGGAATTTCTCTCTAGACGCTGCATATTGTATTGATTTGTTTGAAATCGTGATCTTGCAAATAATAAATAAATAAATAATGATAACATTTTTTTGTATTGTACTTGGACCTTTCTTTCACTTATTTTCTATTTTCCTCATTTCCGCAAGCATCTAAACTAAACATATAATCTTAGGTTGATTGAATCATTGTCGGGCAGTAGTAAAAGTGTTTTGGACTAAAAATCTCGAGATCACGGGTTCAAATTTTATAAATAAAATCACTTGGCGCAAATAATATAAAAGAATATGAGCAAAGCAGTCATGCAGATCACGGGGACTGCTGGAAGATCATATGATTCATGAAAGGGAAGGTGAAGGTGTATAGTTGAAGAAGGAAATAAATGTGACTGATAAATGGCACTTCTTGCGTTACTTCACCCCCAAGAGATGAGTCCACTCAGTGACTTTTCCTTTTAAAGGGTACTAAACTTGCTTTCAATTATTTCGAGAAAAAATTAATAGATATAAATTTAGCTGTAACGGATTTAGATTCTAATCATGCTGCCCTCTAGACCAGTTTGGCAAATGGGTCGACACTCGAACCCCCTGCCAAGCTCTACCCTTCCCACATTTTTTTAAAAGGGACAAAGAAATGTTTCCATCGTATTAACAAATACAACATAAACTAGATTTAGCATTAATTGCACACCGTATGACTATAACTAAAAACAGATTAAGTATAAGTTGAATAACTTTGAACACGATATAATCTTATAATAGACTCGAACAATGATACCATCCAAACAAACATGACCCAAATCCCTAACTTTTTTTTTTTTTTGCAATAGACAAATCAATCACTAGAACTTGAAGAAGTGCAAAAAAATTCCTTGTATTTGATGAGTTCTTCCCATCATGGTATGTATGAAAAAAGCACTCAGCATTAAAGAATTAAGCTTCAGATTGACCATAATTATATGAACACAAGTCTTCTATTATTGAACTTGATACATTGAACTCAGAGCTTCTAACAGGTGGCTCCAAGACCTTTGCCTTTTCTGAGTCTTTTTAGAAATCAACTGCATTATTAACAACAACCATCATTAAAAAACAGGTTAACAACTTTGTAAGACTTCCCTTTTCAAGTGGACTACCCTTTTGTTTCACTAAGTTAGGGATTGGACCTAAGACTTAGGGCAACAATACTAGCACAACTCTCCAACTCAATACAAAATCTCCAAGAATTTGTGAGCAAGCTACAATAGATTCCAGTCATACGATTTGTCCAATAAAAAAGTCAATACTACATATGATAGGACATACATAAATTATACACAGTATAAATACAATTATACATGAAGAGTCGAGTAAATGTTTAAAAAAATAGTACAATACAAACAATGTGACCGATTTTATACAGAGTGTGAACACAATGCGACTAATCTTATCATATGGCTGGAACAAAGTCACCATCCAAACCAACATGACCCAGTTGAGATTTTTTTTTTTTTGGGCAATGGACATATCACTCTGTGGAAACAAGTGCATAAACAATTGCTTGTATATGTAGTTCCCCCTATACTCTTTTTTTTTAGGATGACAAATGTGAACCCTAGCTTGCAGAAGATTATAATAAAAAACATCCAAAAGATAACTTAAGTGGTAAAAAAGACGAGCTATAAATTCAGACGTCTTCAGTTCAAATTTTGGTAATCCCTTAGAGCTAGGCCAAAGAAATTTAATTATCCCTCGTGAATACCTTAGTTTCAAAGTTAGATGATCTTCTTTTGACCCAAGTGCGCGTAAACTAGTACAAACACATTTAACCATTGAACCAAAATATATATATGAATAATGTTATTTAGACCTAAAAATCTGACCTAATTTGCTGACATAATAATGTGGCTTCATAAGAATCATTGGATCAACACCAAGTTTTAATATTTGATGGAGCCTACAGTCAATCCAAAGGTTACAGTAAATTAGGTCAACAAATTATATCAATAAATTAGGTCTCAATAGCATTGCTCTCTCTATATATATAAAATAAAAACCCTTATCATTAAAGAATAAGATTCAAATTGACCAAAATGTTCTGTACACAACTCTTTGATATTGAGCTTTGTGCATTGAACTCAGAGCTTCAACTTTGAAGCTTCACTTTGAGTCCTAAACAAATATGCTGCTTTTTAATTAGTTAGACAAGAGACAGGTGGCTCCAAAAGCTTGCATTGTCTGATCTTTTCAGCAATCAACTGCATTATTAGCAGCAAAAGCTATTAAGAAACCACAGAGATTATTCTAAATCATATAACACCTCTTTATTGTCGATCTCTTGTCCATCGCCTAGTGATTCTTTGTATGTGTAAAAAGCGAATAAATCATCTCATTTCTTTCTTCATAGTGGTAATTCTACAAACTTAACAGTTAGAAAAGTGGCATCAATTTTACTTTTATCGAGTTTCAAACTTTGAATCTCGCATGATACGCTTAAAAATTTCCAATCATGGAGTTTATGGATAATTGCATGCCTTCCAAACTCAACAATCGCGATTTCAAATCACACCTAATTGAAAAGATTCGACATCATATACATATAAAAAAATTACCTTCCTATAATTCTAAGCTCTAACCTGACATAGTAGGTATGAAAAATGTTAGGCAAGGTCTGACTACATTCTATATTTATTTCACTAATGCATGCCAAACAAAACCTAATTGTCGGTAATTAACTTAAACTAAGTCTGAATTCTCACTCCTCAAGTTACCTATCAAAAAGATGTTCCCCTACAAAGGTCACCACCAATTATAAATGCAAAGAATAAGGTCAAAAGTGAGAGGACACTTAAACTCTCCTCATTCTTAGGTTGACTTGGAAGNTCTTTTGACCCAAGTGCGCGTAAACTAGTACAAACACATTTAACCATTGAACCAAAATATATATATGAATAATGTTATTTAGACCTAAAAATCTGACCTAATTTGCTGACATAATAATGTGGCTTCATAAGAATCATTGGATCAACACCAAGTTTTAATATTTGATGGAGCCTACAGTCAATCCAAAGGTTACAGTAAATTAGGTCAACAAATTATATCAATAAATTAGGTCTCAATAGCATTGCTCTCTCTATATATATAAAATAAAAACCCTTATCATTAAAGAATAAGATTCAAATTGACCAAAATGTTCTGTACACAACTCTTTGATATTGAGCTTTGTGCATTGAACTCAGAGCTTCAACTTTGAAGCTTCACTTTGAGTCCTAAACAAATATGCTGCTTTTTAATTAGTTAGACAAGAGACAGGTGGCTCCAAAAGCTTGCATTGTCTGATCTTTTCAGCAATCAACTGCATTATTAGCAGCAAAAGCTATTAAGAAACCACAGAGATTATTCTAAATCATTTAACACCTCTTTATTGTCGATCTCTTGTCCATCGCCTAGTGATTCTTTGTATGTGTAAAAAGCGAATAAATCATCTCATTTCTTTCTTCATAGTGGTAATTCTCCAAACTTAACAGTTAGAAAAATGGCATCAATTTTACTTTTATCGAGTTTCAAACTTTAAATCTCGCATGATACGCTTAAAAACTTCCAATCATGGAGTTTATGGATAATTGCGTGCCTTCCAAACTTAACAATCGTGATTTCAAATCACACCTAATTGAAAAGATTCGACATCATATACATATAAAAAAATTACCTTCCTATAATTCTAAGCTCTAACCTGACATAGTAGGTATGAAAAATGTTAGGCAAGGTCTGACTACATTCTATATTTATTTCACTAATGCATGCCAAACAAAACCTAATTGTCGGTAATTAACTTAAACTAAGTCTGAATTCTCACTCCTCAAGTTACCTATCAAAAAGATGTTCCCCTACAAAGGTCACCACCAATTATAAATGCAAAGAATAAGGTCAAAAGTGAGAGGACACTTAAACTCTCCTCATTCTTAGGTTGACTTGGAAGTATTTTGGGGTAGTTGAGGTATGAGAAAGGTGTGGAAGAAACTAACACTAGTGGCTGTTTTTTGTTTTAGTCAAATTTGGTTGTTATCTTGGATTGGAAGCTTATCTTTTTTTTTTTTCCAAGTCTTAGTCAAAAGGATTGAAGGAATAGCATGCAACTATGGATTAAAAGGGTGGGCCCCGGTGGACTAGCATGGCATGGCCACCATGTATTTGGAAAGTATATATTAACGAGTGATTTCGTGTTTCACGTTTATAATTTTATCTTTTTGTTTTTATGGGTAAGACTATGTTACTGTAGAAGATATCATATCAAACTTACAAAATACAAGCTAGTTAAAATTCGTTTGAGATCAAATTATGATTCAAAAAGTAAGTAAAAATTTAATAGGACAAAGTTATAATTCAAAAAATTTAAGATCGATTTTTCTTTATTTCATTAGATTTATTCATAACCTCATGTTTATTTTGTAGTAATTTTAATATGTTATAAAAAAAACTCTTTAGCAGTCTCTCTCTCTCTCTCACACACACACACAAACACATTCTTTTCTGGATTTATCCCAGATTGAATGGATCATCNTTATAAAAAAAACTCTTTAGCAGTCTCTCTCTCTCTCTCTCTCACACACACACACACAAACACATTCTTTTCTGGATTTATCCCAGATTGAATGGATCATCATCTCCTATCAAAAGAATGGTTGATCATCTAACACTAGCTAGACTACTTCTGGGATAACAGGGTCTGTCTCAACATACATACTTGACTAGTGATTTTTTTTTGGTTCAACGGTTAGGAATGTTTAGATCATTTACCCCTTAAAATTGTGATTAGTAATTTTAAGTAGCGTGATGTGCGTGTTTGATAATCTCAATAAAATATTGAAATGTCACTAAGAGCACCTTTTCAGATGGTCCACTTTTTTTTTTTTGAACTTTAAGGTATGCTTTTAATCTTTGGAATTTGAATAAAAGATTAGAGGAATATAAGTAGTTGAGAACAACCCACTTTGACTAAAAATGTTCTTTTGCCACAATCATGTGAATATTACTACCCCATAGATTAATCACATCATGCAATGTCGATAAGGAACTGCATTGGATTGTATACGATCGGATTGGAATATTTTTTCATACATGAGGCTGGTAATTCTAACTCAATCCAACACGATCGATATAGAATTAACTATATACGAACTTTACTTTTAGATCATCCTCAAATATCATGAGTTGGTCAACCAAGAAAGGAGTTTAACTTTTATAGAGCCTTTGTCCAAGGAGATGTCAATCTCATAGCAGCTACAATGGACCCCATTACATCCAAATCGATCTCTTTTTCACTATTATCCCTCATCGTTGCTACAAGGTTTTGGTCAATTCACATTTAACTGTACAGTTTTTGGGCCGTAATGGCCCATCATGAGACTATGGCAGGCCAGATATTTCAAACGATCCAGCAGGCCTAAACCCATAATTGGCCCACAATGAGTATAGTATGGCCGTGTATATCAAGCCAATACTATTGAATGGGTTGGGCCGAAAATTATGTCCAGGCAATTCAAAAACCCGCCGTTTATCCAGTGAAGGAGAAGACTTAGATGTTGCCTGGCATACCATTGTTGCCCCGTAACCTTTCATGTGGAGCACTGTCCTCAATTAAAGGCGTGATAATTTTAGACACAACATGGACTTGAGTTCGGGTTATGGTGGCCAATATTTGAGTTCAAAGCTACCTTGATTTTAAGTGAAACTCATTGTTTATAAGGGACTCTCTTAAATATCTTACAAGTGATCTATCATACATATTTTTCATAAACATTTTGCAACTGTTAAATATACAAGTGGGATAACAAACATATGTTTGAGATCCTAAAATATAGAGAAGTTGGAAACTATTCCCTAAATCTAAGGTACAACAAGTTTGAATGAATTTTAACTTAGAGAAACTAACGGGTTGTTACGAATTGTTACAATCCTCTGATATGATCTACCAAAAAAACCTTTAAAAAAAAATCCAAAATCTGAAACAGATGTAAACACCACATGATAATATTGAAGTCGTTACATTCAATATTTTCTCTGACATTTCTTTTCCTATGATCATCTANTCCAAAATCTGAAACAGATGTAAACACCACATGATAATATTGAAGTCGTTACATTCAATATTTTCTCTGACATTTCTTTTCCTATGATCATCTAGCAAAATTGGGCCACAATCAAACTCCGAAATTCTGAAACAGAAACAAAACACGTAAGAAAGAACTTTTCATTACTCTCTGGGGACAACAAAATTACAATGAACATTTTAATTAACCTTTATGAGTAAAAACTCAATCCCCAAGCTGCTCTTTCTTGCAACCACATGCTTCTACTGACCAAAAGATACAAGAGCAAAATCTTTTCCTTCTATCATCCCATGGTTAGATGGAAGATTGTCAGTGGGTTCTCTAACATCCTAATGTTAATTGATGATACAATTTTACACATATTGATCCAAGCCCCCACTTCCCGGTTGCGTCTGACGCTAAGATAGTGAATGCTTCCTGCTTCTTGAAGGGGTGGACTTTGTTTCCTCAGCATTGGTGGAAACAGGGCTCCCCGACGTTTCAGAACTGCTGTTCTCGCTTGATCTGTCTTTGCTTGACCAAAGCTTCGAAAATATTTTTTTAGACATGAGCAAACCTTTAACTTTATTGGCAGCAAACTTTTCGGCATTTGTTTTGGTACAATCATTCGCGTTACTGTCACTGCCATCTCCTCGTGCCCTCAACCTTAGGGTAACAAGCTCCCCTTTCAAAGCTTTGAGCTCCTCAGCTGTTGGCACAGCATCCCAGTCCTCTTCTGTGTTGGTTGTTGCGGACTGAGAGCTTCCGTGAGACCCAGCAGGAAGTAAGGCCCTGATAGACCCAGGGAGGTCAGGTGTGCTGGAACCGCCTGAGGCTGTCGAGGCCCTGACCTGTTCGAAGAAGAGGACCTGCACAACAACTCGCAGTGGGAGTCGTTCATTTTGAACAGCATGCATGCAGGCATCCACTGATAACTTCTTGCAGTCCATGAGCCTGCAAATTTTCTTTCGCTCAGTTTTGCTGATCCCAGGGTGTTCCTGCATCAAACACAATCAGTTCAATTAATTTGATTAGAACCCAATATAGCCTATTGAGTGCGCGCCTGAATGCACACAAACACATGCAACATCCCCACCCCCTCCCCTCTCCACCCTACCCATAGAGACAGGGAGAAAGGAGAAAAAAGCAACAGGTTCTTCCTGGTTAGCGGATATTTAATTATGAACATATTTATGTATCACTTACGGTAACATAAGTTAATGTTGTGTGTGCTAAATTTAAGGGAAAATTTCATCCACCCCCCTCGTAATTAGGTTTAAATTCAATGACACCTCTTAGATTCAGAAACTTCAGTGTCACTCCTTATCAGTATTTGTCGGATTACGGTGTTAATGGCGACTGTTAATTAACAAAAATACCCTTAAATATTTTATAGGATAAATTTTATCTACACCTCTTGTAAATAGACATAACTTCAATAACACCCCTATAAATAAATCTATCTTTAACAATACCTCTCCTGATTATGAAATTTTAATTCACTTCCTTTTAGTTATATTATATTAACTTTTAGATTCTTCAATTTAATATTNCCCCTATAAATAAATCTATCTTTAACAATACCTCTCCTGATTCTGAAATTTTAATTCACTTCCTTTTAGTTATATTATATTAACTTTTAGATTCTTCAATTTAATATTTAATTTTATTAAATTAATATTCTTTATTTAATTTAAACTAAATTAACATTCTATCTCATTANATAACACCCCTATAAATAAATCTATCTTTAACAATACCTCTCCTGATTCTGAAATTTTAATTCACTTCCTTTTAGTTATATTATATTAACTTTTAGATTCTTCAATTTAATATTTAATTTTATTAAATTAATATTCTTTATTTAATTTAAACTAAATTAACATTCTATGTCATTAAATCAACACAAATTGATATTTAATTTTATCAAATTAGCATTTAGTTATATTAATTTAATATTTTATTTCATCAAATTAATACTATTTCTTTAATTTAATATTAAATTATTATTTAATTTCATCAAATTGACATTTAATTTATTAAATTAAAATCTNTCAATTTAATATTTAATTTTATTAAATTAATATTCTTTATTTAATTTAAACTAAATTAACATTCTATGTCATTAAATCAACACAAATTGATATTTAATTTTATCAAATTAACATTTAGTTATATTAATTTAATATTTTATTTCATCAAATTAATACTATTTCTTTAATTTAATATTAAATTCTATTAATTTAACATTTAACCTTATCAAATTAATGTCAGTTATTTAATTTAACAACAAATAAACATTCAATTTCATTAAAATAACATTTAAATTTTATCAAATCAACACTTGATTAATATTTAATTTTATCAAATTAAAACTAAATTAATATTTAAATTTTATAAATGAAGAGTGATGTATAAAGAGTGGTCAGGAGACATTTTAGAGGACAAATGATAGTAGAAAAGTTAGAAATGGATAAAATTTTGACATTGACTTTATGGNATATTTAATTTTATCAAATTAAAACTAAATTAATATTTAAATTTTATAAATGAAGAATGATGTATAAAGAGTGGTCAGGTGACATTTTAGAGGACAAATGATAGCAGAAAAGTTAGAAATGGATAAAATTTTGACATTGACTTTATGGTTTATAATTTTATTATAAAAAAATTATTTTTATCTATAAAATAAATTTAAAACCCCATAATTTATAACATATCGCAGAGGGAACTTAGATAATATAAGAAAATAAGAAACCGAAAGTGTACTTGCTACTCAACAACTTATAAGAAAATGAGTTTAATGACTTAAAAGTCTAACAGTTGTTTTGGATGAAAAAAATTTGCATGAAAACAAATTTTTAAAATTGCATGAAAACAAATTTTAAAAAAATTGCTTGAAAAATATAATTTTTTTTTTATCAACTTAAATAGTGATTGATCACTGTGGAGACCAAGTTAAAAAATAATGGTACGCTTCAGTCCCCTATGTCTTCCAACAACTCCAGATCATTTTGGACCTTCACAAACAACAAAAGGTATGGTATATATAATGGGAAAAGGATGAAGGCATTTTAGTATATTTACATAAAGAATTATATTTTTGATATTTTTAAAAAATTTATAGCCAAACCGTTACTTTTTGTATTGATAAAGTTTAAAATTATCGTTAAAAGGATGTCTTTGATTTGAAAGTATAAATCAGAATGGAGTGTAGTGAAGTTCAGCATCGAGAGAAAATGTCATTAAATTTAGACTTAACCAAAAAGGGTGTAGATGAAATTTTTACTAAATTAAATGTTCAACTCCCCAGCAAGGGGAAAAGTAGTTCAGAAAGAGGACTAAATAACTGAGTTTGAAAGATTACCTTAAGATACGTGTCAATTGCACGATAAAGTCCATCATGGGATGGTCTAGGGAAGCCTGATGCTGTTTCTGCAAGATCAACAAATTTCGAGAGAGGTAGATTCGGATCTCTTGCAACTTCAGCAAGGTACCCATCAATCAGCTTCGCCACCTTCGTCTTGGAAACATCAGATACAAACCCAGGGCTTCTTATCTCCTGAAATTCACTTCCAATGGGACAAACAGTCTGAGCATTCTGCTCCTGCATCACAAACTCCTCAACTAAGTCACGCACAATATCAATGTCATACACTGTTGTTTCCCCAGCGGGAGCTTGAATCAAAAGATCAGTAACGCTGGCCTCCTCCAGCTGTTGTCCAATTCTTCTCATCAGCTCCCTTCTTCCCATATCTCCACATTCTAATATATTAGATGCTTGTAACAATTTTAGGAGGAAATTAGAGGGAACACTGCTTTTCTCAGAGGGCAGCAGCCAGGTCATGGTATCAACCAAATATCGACTCTTCACGGCATCGCCAACTTGTACCACACCTTTGCCGAATCCTGGCAACCTTCTCATGGCATATGCTTTCAAGGATTCTCCAATTACATCTGCAGACATTCTTCCCTTTGTTTTTATTGTGGTGATGATCCGCTTATATAAATCTATTTGAAGCTCACATAGATCCTCTACCCACCAATCCTTAGGAACCATCTGCTGTTTCCTAACACCATTCCAGTGTAGATCATTACCATTCTCAGAAGGAAGTTTTTTACGGTTATAGGTGTATGACCATTCCACCTTTGAAGATTCGATGGAAGCTTTAGAAGCTATAGAGTCTAGGCAGTGACTGACCACCTTCAGTTCCTCAGACCAAGGAAGAAGAGCCTTCGTCGTTTGAAGCACAATGATTGAGTCTTTCCAACTCCGGAAAATGCTAGAGTTGAGAAAGACTTCAATCTTGTAGATAAGATTTCCTTTGTCGACGGTTTCATACATTTCCAGATATTCTGCTGCACAACGAGCTGCAACTACATTGTATGCATTTAGAGTGACTGTCATACCATAACAGAACTTTGCACATATTTCAAAGGCAGCAGGTCCACCAGGTATGTCATGAATGTTGATTTCATCATTATTTTCCTCATTCGTTATCACAACAAGCTTCTGCAGGCGAGCACTCTTGGACAAAAGGGGAAACTACAGGAATATGTTGTTTATTAGTATTAAAAAAACAAACATATATAAGAGAGAAAATGCGGGATGATGAGCACCCATTTAATACTACTTTTAAAAGTTTGAGCAGCGTTTATATGCCCACACAAATTTTGACTGGTAAGATCAAGTTAGAATTTGCAAGCAACAAGAATAGGGTAAAAAAAAAAGTGTATACAAGCGTAATCTAAATCAGCTAGACCAATCTGACTGAATGGCATAGTTGGTTTGTCAACAGCATCTTTCTTCCCACTTTTGGCACTGTTTGAAGTGCAGGATCAGGTTGAGATCTCCTGTTATACAATGGTGAGTTTGTTTAACCTAGTCAAATTTATACTTGCTTATGCCGAGTTGTTATTCCTAGCCCATTATCTTCACATATGGTATCATAAAGGATGAAGCTTATAAAAGCACTCGATACGTTGTATGCATAAATAGATACATACCTTATGCAGATAAAATTTAACATCCCCAACGTTGACGACTATGTCTGTTGCCAACTCAGTTGCTACATACCTGGACATTCAAATATCTCTCCTGTCAAATTCATGATAACATAAGATAAGCAATTGTCTACCTACATAATGGTCCTACCATATAGGTAAATTTAAGAAGCATCCAAGTGATAAAGTGAGATTATCACTNTACCTGGACATTCAAATATCTCTCCTGTCAAATTCATGATAACATAAGATAAGCAAATGTCTACCTACATAATGGTCCTACCATATAGGTAAATTTAAGAAGCATCCAAGTGATAAAGTGAGATTATCAATGATGGAGTATGCCTGTTGCTAGATAAAAGATGAAAATCTAAATAGAAAAGAATTATTTGCTTCTTAACTGACAAGTAGCAAATAGAAATATCTGAACCTCTTCGAAAAAGTTCTACATTACAGATCACAACATACAAAACTACCAATGCCTGCCAGGGATAAGAACAGGGCAAACTATCTCCAAACTTTGTGAAATCAGAATTACTGATATTGCCTAAGAATTTGAGCGAAACTTAGACAAAGGAGAGTCCTAAACTATTGTTGGGACAACTGTTGTATGATACATTTGTCACACTATAGCTCCATGGGCATTACTGATATTGGCTAGTAGTGAGCCTGAAAATCATTTGCAACAATGCGATATATGCCCTTTGTAAGTTCTAACAAAGGTCTAGTCAGCTTGAGGCTTAAAAGTTAAAACCACTTTCGAAGACTTATTATCGAATATATTCATGTTTGTTCACTGCTATTCCATATGAAATGCAAAGCCTCTCATTGTTCTATCCCTACCTAATTCTTCCCCTCTCTTGCTTCTCTAGTATTCTATAAAGCCTATGTCCCTATTCCCTTCCAAGACAGTGTAGTCAACCCCATTTAGCTCAAAAGGATCAAGTCCAATATTCCTTCTAGATATGAAATTAACTCATACACATATATAAGAAATTCTCAATGAAAACATTCTCCATTCTCAACCATCTCTGTCCTATAGCATGAGAAGGAATGTTCTCCCCCTTTTCTTTTTCAAAAAAGAGGAAACAACATATACCATATACTTTCTCTTTAAACAGTAATAAGTTCAAGCTTAAAAAAGCCAAGAATGAGACATGACCCTTCTCTTTAAAATACAAGGTCACAAAACTCCCTTTTCACAAAAAAAAAAAAAAGAAGAAAAATCGTAAGAAATAATATCTTCAATGATTTAGAGGGCCTGATAACTGGATCACATGTAGATTGCTGATTATTCTTTCAACAAGCCACTCAAAAAGATAACCACTACCAGTATTGACATAGAGGTAACTTGGGAACCTTGATTGAATGAAAGACAAGTTCGATTCCCATGTAAAAAATGTGAACATTCAAAACTAATTAAAGAACGCATTATTTCCCCTTAACACTACTTGCTAAGTATAAAAAAGCACAAAAATAAATTAATAAATGAAAGAATTTCAACCAGTAAACAAACCTCTAACTTAATAAAATGGCCACAATAATGTGCAATTAAAAGTTCACATGGCATCCAAAATCTTGAATACCAATCTGAGACTAAATAATTCCAAGTTATACTCCTCATCATTTGCAAGAGACAAATATAAATTTTAGGGAACCCAAAGCTGGTATGTTAACAGAAAAAAAGCTTCCAACCACCAGCAAATGCCTATAATACTACACTTGTAAGAAGTTCATGTGCTGCGCTGCAGCTTCTACCCTCCCTTCAATCTTCCTTTCCCCCACCTTCCCCACAAAAAGGTAAAGAAGTCCCCTTATAGGCAATGCAAAGGTCCAGAAATTACATGCAAAGGTTCTATTCATATGCCAACCCATGAACCATACTTGAGTTACAGAAAAACATAATGAACCCATATGTGATAACAAACACAAGAACAAGTCGTCTTCTTTTTTTCCACATCTCATATTGCATCAAATGCTAAACGAGGAAAACAATTCAGTTTAACTTCTACGAAACCGAAAA